ACCGCTTCCACTCAGCGGTACATCAATACTGCCCAACTGTTTAATGTTTGCTTAGAGGTTTTATGGCAAGAGGTGGCAACACTGATTTATCACTGAGTATATCATACTGCAATTATCATAACCAAAGATACATTTGAAGACAAAAAAAAAAAAAAAAAAAACATTAATAATAGACTCTGCTTTCTTTTTTTCTTTAAAATTTTTATCGATTTTTGTTTCTTTTGTTCCTTAAGTAAAGTAAAATATTACATTAATTATTTTATAAAGACGGCGATACAGAAGACTCTTTTCTAACATCATCAACTGTTTCAGTATTTGAAGCTTTCCGAAACAGTTCACCAGTTGTTGTAGCAGCATAATTTGTAGTCGCTGTTGTTACAGCAGCTGCTGCTGTGACTGCCGCTGTCGTATCGGCAGCAATAATTGCCTCTTGACTGTTTCGATTTTCTTGATTATTACTGTCCTTAACTGCTGTTGTAGCTGTTGTAGTAGTTGATGTTGTTGCTGTTGTTGTTGCCGTTGCTGATGCTGTTGTTGAGGCTGCAGCCGATACAGTTGATGTATCTGATGTTTCCGGTTTTAATTTCAAAATTTCATCGATCATTAATTTGGAACGTTTTGGAGCACTGGATACAGCAGTTGTTGGCGTTGACTGTGCCGTTGTCGACGGTTGCGCAGCAATATTTTTTTGAAAATTCAGTACTGTTGCTGGATTCAAATATGAGTTGAACGCCGGACTTAGTGTCGGGTTCATCAACAATCTTAGGGATTCCAGTTGCATTGCGTCTAATGTACCAAATATTGGTCGTGTATCACGTTTAGAGCTCAAATCACGTGGTTTATCTTCTTCAGGTGATGGTGATTCAGTCATCGAATTTTCAAACAAATCTTCTTCCATTTCCGAATCGCCAGAATTTTCTGAATGTGGACTCTTTTTACCGCTATCTTGCCCATTTGCTCTGAAAAAAAAAAAAGATGCAAAAGAAAAAATTGAACGAATCATTAGTAAACGTAGCATATGAAACATTTAAGTGTTTTTAAATTCTAATGGCTTTCAGTATAATAAAAAGAATTGTTTTTGGTTTAGCTAAAGTTTATAGTTCCCAAAACAATTGAAAAAAAAATTGTTTTCCCTTTAAATAGAGCAAAGGTAGAATATGAGAGTAGAGGAGAAAAATGGAGAGAAAATTGCCGTATAGACTTTGTTGAAGAGTGATCAGCTTTTGTTTGGGTAACAGCCATCTCAATTACGGTAGCTGTTTTGTTTCCTCAATAAACAGATAGGCAGTTGAAAAAAAGACCATTTTTTTTTTCTGCTTTTTTTTTGGTGATGTTTAGTGATGATGACGACCGTGGTACATAAATATATTTTACTGGTTTGGTGCAGTCAAGCTTAAAAGCATCGATGTGCAAAGTATATTATTACACTTAATAAGTTTTGTCTTCAATAGTCATCCATTACCATCATTATTTTTATTACTAT